GACCAACAGGTCCCACACCTGCCCTTTGACCAGGGCCTGAACTTGGCCGAAAGGAAACCGTCCTGCCCCACACCACCCCTCTTGCTGCCTGACCCAAGTGGGTGAAGATCCCCCGGTGCCAGTGGCGGCTTTGGCAGGGCGGTGTGGCGTGGGTACCTGGCCTGCCCAGAAGCTGTGCTGGGCTGAGAGGTGTGGCCAGAGGCACTGCGAGGTGCGGGGTCACCCCTTGGAGAAGCGCAGGGAGCCACTCAGCCCGGGCTGCAGGGCCAGAGACGGGGTGTTGCTGGCCCCACGTTGTTCCTGGGCCGGGCCGTGTGGATTGCAGGCCCTGCACTGAATCTCCCCCCTGAATCTGCTCTGGAATTTTCCCGTGCAGCGCGGTGTTGTGATGCAGCCACCACGTGGTGAGCAGGTTGGGGCCAGCACCTCGCACACTTGAAATCTCTTTGTGGTGAAGCCTCAAAGCGTTGGCCTCTGTCCAGCCACCCTGAGAGAATGTCATTGCTAGCGGCAGCCCCTCCCGTGAGGCTGCTCACCGGGGATGACCCGTCCCGACTCGCTGTCCTCCGTGCCAGGGACAACCACCCAGCCCCACCTCCCCTCCGCTCTCACCTCTGGTGCGCTCCATCCCACTCCTTCCTCCGTGAGATCAGCTTGTTTTAGGCTCCACATGAGCGAGACTATGTGGCATCTGCCTGTCCACGCCTGGCTTATTTCACTGGATGAGCTGTTCTATCAGAACAGGATTTCATTATTTTCATGGCTGAATAATATTCTGCCATGCCTATATATCATCTTTGCTTTCCCTTTCCTTCCCTTGTAGGACTGGGGATTGCCTGGGGTCCTTGCTCATGCTAGGCAAGGGCTCTACCACTGAACATCATCTCCTGCCCACATATTTTTTTCAATACGTGTGGCATTTTATTTCTCTCTTGAATCAACACAGACTAACGCACATTTGTGGGGCAGGTGATGCTTTGGTACAGGCGCGACGTGTGGGCTGCTCATGCCTAGGTGACCACGTCTCCATCTCCTTAGCCGCCATCACTCTCTGGCTAGGAGCCTTCCTTCCTACACCCCTTCTCCTGCCCACAGCACCCCACGGGAGACAGCGCCCTTCTCGGGTGGTGGCCGGAGCTGCGCAGGCCCGCATGGGGGTCCCCCGGAGCTGAGTGTGTCCTTTCCCGTGCGGCTCCCCAGGAGTGGGGTTGCCAGGCCACCAAGGGCATTTCTGGTTCTTTTCCAGGATCCTCTCCCTGCCACCAAAGTATTAAAAGCCCAGAACCATTCAGAGGGAGCAGCTGGTGTCAGGAGGGGGAGCACCCCTCCCGCTCAGCAGACCCCGGCTGCACACCCACAAATGAGGACGCCTGAGCCCCTGCACCTCCAAACTGCAGTCCACTTCCAGTCCCTCAGTAGCTCGTCCAAAGATCCTCCAACCTCCCAGGACATGAAGAGCTGGCTTGTTCCCAAGTTGTGGTCACTCTGCGGAGAGGGGTTCTCAGAAATGGAGGCAGAGTACCTGTTGCCCTTGCTATTCTGAAGTCAGTGCATCCCAAAGAGCAGTGTCAGGTGTGGCTCTGCACCTCAGCCCCGGAAGCCCCTGCAGCCAGCACTGTGAGCTCCCTGTCGCCTGCGGGCTGCAGACACACAGGGCGCCGGGGCCGCCGGAGAGAGCAGTGATTTGTGCTCAGGGAAAGCGGTGCCGTCACCGTGGACACTGCATCCTGTCCCCGCCTGACCGAGGAGCAGTGAGGGAGCAGCCTGCTGCCTGCTGTGCCTGAGACCCCCACAGGGACCCCGGGGCTCCCAGCGGCCGGAGCATGGTCAGTCTCCGTGGTCCCTGCTGCCAGGGGGCTCTGCAGAGCCTCGGCCTGCACGACACTCTGAGCTGGTTCCAGGCAGCCCCTGACAGAAGAGGCCAAGCTACCATCAGATGCAGGGCTTTCACGGGAGCCTTGGGGCTCCCTGGTGCGTGTGTGTGTGCACATGTATGTGTGTGTGTGTGTGTGTGTGTGTGTGCATGCGCGCTCATGCACAGCTCTGGATGCTGATTGCTCTGCGTGCAGAGGCCTCCTTGTCTGTCTGTCCAGCAGCACAGTATGCCAGGGCTACACGAGAATCCAGCTTGTGGGCACGAGTCCACTTCAAGCCAACCCGCTGTATGTATGCATAGATGTGTTTTAATTTGAAGTTATGTGGAAAACTCAGCAGTCACAGATGGCAATGGTCTCATTTCGAGCTGACAGTCATAGTCCTCTTCTTCCTCGCGCGCACCCCCTGCACCCGGCCAGCCTCTGGCCACTCACCTTTCCTCCTTGCCCATGTACCCTGCGATTCCTCACCTTGGGGGGCGGCGAAGGGGGTGGGGGGGAGCCCCTGGTGCAGTTCCCCTCCTCTCCACAGGGTGGCGTCTGACTGGCATTTTTCCTGTCCTCTAGTGAACGTTCAGAGCCCACAAATCAAAGTCCCACAACGCCTGAGACAGACACCGTGCTTGCCTGGGTCTTTTTCTGTACGTGTCATCCATCTCTTTTTCTTAGTGACATATCTGGCTGCACCTGCAACTCCTGAGACAGTCGGGTAAGATTACCATAGCGAAGCCTTGGTGCTGACCTTTGGCGGAGGGAACAGTTCACTTCTGCCATAAGAAAAAGACTTTCTCAAGAAAAAAACCGGCCCTGAGCAGTTTGGATGGGCACAGGAAGCCGCAGCCTTCCTGCGAGGAGGGTGCTGGTCCCCTCGCCGAGCTCAGTCACCACGTGGGAGTCGGCCCAGGTGTGGGACAAGGTGGACCGAGCTGTGCCGGCTCCAGGCTGTGGAGAAAGCCCCTGGCCCCCACTCCCTTAGTGCTGTGGAGACTTGGAATGTCAGAAGAGGTCTAATTCTTAGTGATGTCTCCCGCCTCATTCTTGGGCTGTTTTCTGAATTCCACATGCAAATTCCAGCGTCGGCAGGTGAAGCAGGAGAGGAGTTAGACCCGGGCACCCTTGGCTGCATGGGCTGGGATTGGATTAGTAGAACTGAGGAGTCCGCTGGACGCCGAAACTGGCCCCTGGGAGCCTGGGGCGGTGGGGAGATGTTTGTACAGCGTGTCCAGCAGACTTAGCCTTAAAACACAACCTGTTGTCAAAGTTGGGTCAAGTCTCAGAGATGCAGATACCACACTGTGAGACAACCCTCGTCTAGAGAAAATCGAAGACAGAACTTTTCGGGGTCGGGGGGGCACATGGGCTACTACTGTCCGGAGTCATGTATTACTGTGGCCCCGCTGAGTCACTTAGTAAAAACATTTATCAGAAGAGAAGGAGCTGTGTGCACTAAGCCCTTGGCGCTCTGTCCACACGGCCTTGCTGAACGCTGTCCTGACTGGGAGGAAGGCAGACTCGCCACACCTCAGTGATGATAAACCTGCAGTAGGGTCTGTCCTGCTCCTCACCTGGGCATCCGGGACAGCAGGTGCTTGGGAGGGCAGCAGGCTGGCAGAAGTCAAACTCGGAGTCTCATGCAGTGGGTGCCCTGCAGAGTGCTCTCGTGGAGGCTCCGCTCAGAGCTGGGCACTGGGCCGGCACCGGAGGAGCAGCGGTGTCGCGAGGCCAGTGAGCCCCATGCGCTGTGCTGAGGGCGGAGGACCCGGTGGCTTCCCTGGTGCCCCGGGGTTCTGGATCACTGTGGGGGCTCGGGCCTGGGCTGCGCGGCCCGAGCATCTGGGCCTGCGCTCCTGCATTCTGTCCCCACGAGTCGCTGCTGCTGGGGGGGGACAGAGGCCATGGTGCTTCTCCTGCAGGGACTTGGTCGCTTCATGCTGGGTGCAACAGCTGCAGGACTCGAGGGCTGGGAGGGTTTGCCTTCCCCACAGAAGCACAGAGAGGCCCTCCCCTGCCTCTGCTGGGAGCTCTGGGTGCCTGTGATGCTCAACACCTCTCAAGGACCAGGAGCTGGCCCCACAAGAAACCCTTCTGGGGTTTCATCCTGTGGCCTCTGTGTGTGAACTCAAACAGATTTAACAGCAGCACGTCACAGTAGCTCACAGTCATGGGAGCAGCCTAGATGCCCATCAACAGAGGAATGGAAAAAGGAAGTGTGGTGTTCACAGACCATGGAGTACTACTCAGCTGGGAAGGCTAACTCTGAGTCATTGGTGAGGAGAATGGATGAATCTTGATACCATTATTCTAAGTGAAATAAATCCGACACAGAAGGTTCAGTATTGTATGGGTCTTCTTACCTGAGAAACCCCAAATATAAATAATTTGAAGAGCAAAATAAAAGCAAGACGATAGGAAACAGGGAGTCCTTTGAATCAGCCCCAACTGTTCTCCTCCCCCAGCAGTGGAAACGCTGTCCCCCGGAACCAGTCCTGGCTGAGAGGGGATGAGCCCTGTTCTCAGAGACAGACTGGCAGAGAGGATGTGCACTTGAGGGGGCCACAGGCGGCTGTCACAGTGGGCAGCATCCCAGGCTGCGCCGTGGCCCTCTCTGCCCTGCTTGGGGTGGGCTGGGCCAGCGCTGGTGTGCGTGTGAGCCGAGCACAGGCCCTCCGTGTGCCCACGGGTTCCCGGCCAGCAGACCAAGGGGGCCAGAGGGGGACACAGGATGTGTCCCCTCCCTGCTCCCCACGTGTGAGGCCCGAGGGGTTCCTGCGCGGGGACTCTTTCCTGACCTCTGAGAGGCAGCAGCAGGCAGAAGCCGTGAAGGGCTCTGGGGAGGCCAGCGCGGGGTCCCCTTCCCTGGGAAGGGCCTTCGACCCTGGCCTTCGCTCTGACGTGGGCTGCAGTCCTGCAGCTGCTTCGCACCTGCGGGGCGGACAGGAGCAATGAGCTGCAGTGAGATGGGCTCAGAGGTGCTGAGGCCGCATTTCCTTCGCGATGAGAAGCGCGTCCTGGAGCATGGCTTTGCAGCGGGCTCTCGGCGACGTTCCCAGGGAAGGGAAAGGGGTTCGCCGGGGAGACGCGGCCATGCTCACACTCATGCTGTCTGCCTTCCTCTGCTCCCTGCAGGGCTGCCTGACGATGCCCAACTCCCCATCTGCACACGCGCGCTCCCTGAGTCTGGGGCCGGCCCTGTCCCTGGGCAACATCTCGGGGGTGTCCATGAAGTCGGAGATGAAGAAGCGCCGGGCCCCGCCTCCTCCGGGCTCCGGGCCACTGGTCCAAGACAAGACACCAGAAAAGGTAGGGCGGCCAGAATGCCAGTCTTTCAATGACCACTGGACCCCGGCAGCTCCCTGCGCAGCTGCCCTTTCTCTTGCTGTGGCTCTAGCAAGAAGGGTCCAGGGTGAACATCAGAGTTGATTTGGGAGCAAAGGCTGCTTCAGCTGTCGGGGCCAGGGAAGTATTCGAGGGCCTCTGTCCTTCAAGATGTGTGCTTGCGAATGAACATGTGCTTTATCTGATCCCTGAACCTGGGCGTCCGTGTGTGCTCGTATGACGTCTGCACGGGTGCGGGTGCCTTAAGAAATCTGCAGCGTGTGAAAGGAGACTCCCGGTATCCAGGCTCCCAGGGAAGCTGGCAACAGCTGCCAGCTGCGCTGCTGTCGGGGTGCTCGGAAGTGTGTCTGGGTTAGGTCTCCTGTATCCTCAGAGCCTTTTGATGCCTCTGGAGGTGGCAGAGCCCTTGGTGCTGGCTGCAGTCCTCCACCCCAGTCCTTCCCTGGCATCTGCCTGGGCTACTTCTCTGGCCTCCCTGCTGATTTCTGGAAACAGGGTTTGAAACATGGAGCCCTCGCATTTCGCAGCTTCAGCGCTCCTGGGCAGCACTGTCAAATCATGGTTTTGTTTCCCACAGCTTTAGTTGCCTGCAGTCAATGGCAGTCCAAAAATACATACTGGAAAATTCCAGAAACCATTCATAAATTTTCAACTGCACACTCTCCTGACATCTCCACAGTCAAGATGCATCTGCCTGGGATATAAATCATCTCTGCGCCCAGCATGTCCACACTGTATGTGCTACCCGCCTGTGAGTGTCTCCAGAGCTGTTTTACGAGGGATGATGGTCATGAACTTGCTTTGCTGTGAGCAAGGAACCCTAATTTCATTTCCAAATAGCTCCAGAGTGCAGAGCTGTGGAGCTGGCAGCTGGGATAAAGCAGTGTGAGCTGTCAAGGGCTTCTTCTAAGAGAAAGGAGATGCTCAACTCCAGGTCTGTGTGCACAGGAGACCCTCAAGTCAGGTTTGGCTCCATGTCAGCACAGCTGGGGGTCAGCTGATGTGCACCCCGTGCACACAGGGAGACAGCTGCAGCTCCCCTTTCCCCAGCATAGACAGGAGCACTGCAGAAACAGGAAGCTTTCCTGCTCTGACGCCACCCCGTCTGAGTGGGGAAGCAGGGTGTCCAGTGCCTTTGATATTGAGAAGCAGAATTGCCCAAGGCAGTCAGGTGGCAGCTCTGTTTGTGTCCCACAGGGTGAGTAAGGACCCCTTGGGCTTTGAGGGCCCGGCTACTGCAGTGTCCCCTAGACGGCCGCCCTGTGCACCAACAGCAGGGGGCGCAGCAAGGGCGCCTTCACTTCCTGACCCTGGCCTGCTACCCTGGTGTCCCTTGGCATGTCCCTGTGTCACTGAGCCTGGGCACATCACAGCCCTGCTAGTCTCTAAGTTCCACCCCTCTTCTGCTTGTTTCCTGGAAATGTACCAGAAACTAAGCCCGGACCACCAGTCTGAGGTGTGGCCCGGGGGTCTCCATCCACAGGTGCAGTGGCCTGTCTCCTCAGTGGGTCCCGGCACCCTCACTGGTCTGCCTGTCTGTCCATGGCCAGTCTGTCTCCATCTTGTTCTGCTAGCTGACCCTTTGGTCCTCTTTCTCTGTCCACCCAGTGTGTCCTTCACTTCAGGTCCCATGAACTTCCTTTTAGAGTTTGGACCTAAGCCGCTCCCAAGTCTCCTGTGTGTGGAGCTGACAGATCACGGGCCCTGTGCTCGTCAGTGGTTCATCCATGGCTGAGTCCGTGGCTGACTGTGCTGTAGGGGCAGGGTCTAGCTGGAGGGTCCCAGGGTGACCTGGAGGGCGCGTTCCTGTCCCCTCCTCTCACAGGAACCCTCACCCAGGGAAGTGTGGGGCAGGGCCGCGCCTGGGGCTCGTGTCCTTGGTCTCAATCTCTGCTCTTCTCGGCCACTCAGGCTGTGGCATTTGGGGACAGCACTCAACAGACACAGCGTCTCCAACACTGGATTTGCACACAGCTAAGGGATCGCTGTGTGGGGCGCAGGGGGCTTAGGGAGCAGGGAAGCCACTGTGGTGACCCTGGCAGCTCCCGGGCCTTAGGCAGCTGTGAATGAGCCCCAGGGTCCAGCTGGCTGGGCTACTCAGCGACGGTGATGCTTTGGGCGGAGGTGCAGGGCCCTATCCAACCTGCTGGGCACAGCCCTTGTTGGGGGGGGCACCGGTTCCACAGGACCTGGGCCCGCCACTTGGCGCCCCGTGGCCTGGGCTCGCTTGTGGGGCCAGGGGACACTGGCGTGAGGGATGCATGTGAGTGAGTCCCCTTAACCTGCGCCAACCCGGCTCTCTCCTCCTCCCCTTCATCCTGGTGTGCTTCTGCAACCTAGGAGGGTTCCTGTGTCCTGAGTTCTAGATGTCCCGTTCCATTCCCTGCACTATGATTCTCCTGCCAACACTTCTTGGCCACGTTTCTGTATTTCTTCAGAACAGCACATTTGTCCCTGTGTGCGTGTGGATGTGGATGTGTGTGCGTGTTCGTGTGTGTCCCACCTCTGTTGCCATGGGTAAAGTGCCTCCTTGTGACTCGCTTTACATAACCCGGGCAGTTGCCCATTGTGGTGTCCCTTGCTCCACCAAAGTGGGGAAACTGAGTCCCAGACTCACAGAGCTGCGTGGCAAGGTGACCTTGGAGCTGGTCCCCTGGCTGTCCCCACCCCTCGGACCTGGCAGACCTGACCTCACTGAGTCACACAGTTTGTCCTCGGAAACAGCCAGGGTACACCAGCTGGGCTCCCCGAGAAGGTCAGGAGCACGCAAGGAAAAAAACCCTACCGGTGTCGGGCATAGCCTCTCTCCTGAGTATTTTTGATCTACAGTTGTTGAACCCACAGGTGCATAACCACAGGGGATTCTGGAGGAACAGCTGGACTTTAGCTGAGAAAATAGGTTCACCAGGACACAAGAGCTATGTTCAGATGTTCACCTCCTAGTCCTGCAGCAGTGGGCAGAGCATCACCTGGAGCTCAGGCTCAAGAATGCGGTGTTAGTTGAACATAAGAATTTTTTAGGGCCGGGGATTTAGCTCAGTGGTTTCTCCACCTGCTGCGCAAGCACAAGGACCCAAGTTCAATCCCTGGTACCAAAAAAAAAAAAAAAAGACTTTTTTAGGCAGGCGTGAAAGTGCACCTGTAACCCCAGCACTCAGGGAGGCTGAGGCAGCAGGACTGGAAGTTTGAGCCCAGCCCAGAAAACCTAGCAGTTTGGCAAGACCCTGTCTCAAAATCAAGAATTAAAAACCGGCTGGGGGTGTAGCTCAGTGCAAAGGCCCTGGGGTTCAATCCCCTGTAAGGCAAAAAGAAAGAATTTTGAGTAAATAGCCTAACTAGTGAAAAATGCAGGTGTTCAGATTTGTACTAAATCCTTTTGGAAATAAATAGGTTTTGTTTGCATGCTGAAATGGAAAGCTAAACACAGCCCTCACCTGGCACTGACATTCCAAGGCCTGGAGGAGTTGGAAATCAGGCTCCAAGTCGTGGTCACACTGTGTCAGTCACTCCCACTCAGTGTCACTCTCATCCAGGAGTCACTTGTTTTCCTCATCGAGGCTCTGCCTGTCCACCTCGTCCCCTGTCACTGTGCTCCTCGGGACAGAAGGAAATGCCTGGAATTGTGCCTCCGGTGCATCCCTCACCTTGGCATCTTGGCCCTTTTCTTCTTTGTTTGTTTGTTTGTTCGTTTGTTTGTTTCAGGGTTTTTTGAGATGGCCTTACTCTGTGGTTCAGGCTGTCCTTGAACTCACTACACAGCCCAGGCTGGCCTCAAAACATTCAGTGATCCTCCTGCCTCAGCCTCTTGAGTGCTGGGATCACAGGCATGTGCCACCACCACATTTTGCCTCTTTATTTTCATGATTCTCTCCAGTCACCTTGACAATTGGAAAAGTGGGCTTTAGAATGTGCCTGCATATTCAGCCTATGAGGAGAAGTACCCTAACTCCCCTTCGCGGGACTCTGTCAGCTCTGGAAGCTGAGGCTGTCCCAGAGCCCAGGCGGACTCGGCCTTCCTCTCTGGGTTCCACTCTCTCTGCTGCGGGCTCAGCGGCGACTGTGGCCTTGGGGTTTTGAGCCATTGATTTCCCCTTCCCCAAGCTCACACCATGTTACGCCCTGTGGCCTCTTACTTCTCTGCATTCAAGGGCACAATCAGCAGGTCCAGAACTGGAAAGACACTTGGCAGTCACGGATCAGATACAGGAGGGACACCAGAGGGTGTGGGAACTTACAGCTCCGCACATCGACAAAAGCCAACCGCAAAGACAGGAGTGAAGGACACGGGTAGATAGTCTCCAAAATAAACAAAGCACAGAGGCCCAGGAAAGAGGCCCTGTGTCACCAGGGACCAGTGGGAAAGGGGCACAGCAACAGGACTTCCCTGCTACAGAGCCAGCAGACAGGTGTCGGACGGGCCGGTGCCTGTGGAGGACTCTGTCTGGCCTCAACCAGGGCTGAGGGAGGACAGGCCCGGTGGGCTCAGAATCTCGGCTCTTGCCGTCCAAGGAATCATTGAGTTGCTCAGATGCAGGCAGGAAATCAACTCTCCCAGACTTTTCTCCTGAATTTGAGGCCAACAGATAAAACCACGAGGAGAGCTGGCAGGATGTCTAGGGCTTGCACTCAGGAAGTGGCCCTGGCCAGGGAGGCTTGCAAGACCCTTGCTCCCTGCCGACACTGGAGAACTTCCGGAGGTGGAAAAGCCTGCCCTGGTGACTCCTGGGTCACAGATGCGCTCCGTGCGGTGCCCAGAACACAGAGGCCAGACCACAGGAATTGGTGTGTAAGATAGAGAAGGTGTCCCCAGAGTCCTAAAAGGGGATCTTCCACATGGACACCCAGGGGGAAAGTGCCTTGCATTGCACTTCAACGCCCGCCAATGACTTCGACTTTTAAAAGGAAATGATGAAAAGACTTAGCACCAGTACAAGAACAAAGGACTTGCTCCGTGCAGCACGTGT